CCCCAGATTGGCTTGGCAGCAGCTGGAGCACTAATTGGAGCCAGTTTGAGGGCTTTTACGGAGTGGAATGGTTTCCAGCTGATAAGGAGGAGGAGCAGCAGCAGTTTTATCAGCTCTGGGTCTCCATGTCCATCTACACTTTCTGCTGCCTTGCCTATGTGGTTCTTTTGTTGCTCCTCACACATTTTTGTTACCTGACCTACTTTGCCGGATGCATTTTGCTACTGGGCTGGTTTTCTGCAGCTTCAGGCACTGGTTTGCGGAGGGATCTGAAGCCAGCACCGAGCAAGGAGGCACAGGCACAGCCCCAGGCAGCGAGAGGTAAGCAGGGCCTCGTCCTTCGGCAGCGTCCAGCTGGGATGATGCGGTTTGTGGGGCTGTGCCCAAGTCTGGTGTGTCCTGTTCCCTCCGAGAGCTGGCACTGGTGGGGCTGGGCAGGGAGGGCCTGATCCGGCAAGAAGTGCCGGGGGGAAGATGCCGTGAGCCGTGGGGAGCCGTGCCCTCGCTGTGCTGACTTGGCTGTGCCCCAAACCATCACCCAGCTGATGGAGGTGTGGGAGCTCCGAGCCCTCGCAGCAGGCAGAGACAGCGAGAGCAGGGCTTTCCCCGCGGGGTTCGTGGGTCGGAGAGCTGCAGCCGGCTTTCCTCCGCTGTTGGTAGCAGCGAGCTATGGATTTCTTTTTTTATTTATTTTCTGAAGACACTGTTGAAGGATTAGGGGTGTCCTTCGGAGCTGTAATTATCCAGCCTGGCTGGTATGCAGGGTCTGACCCCAGGGAGCTGCTGCTGGGTGTGTGTCCGTGCCGGACGGAGCCTGTGACAGGGCAAGTAAAGGGCAGTGTTGCAGACGGTATTGCAGGGTGTAAGGAAAATACTGCTGCGTGGTCTGGAGAGCTGCTTTGTGCCAAGGCCTTTTAATGGCTGCAAGTCCCAGCCTTCTGCGGGTGCTGGGTGGGTTCAGTGGGGATGCTTGTGCCTTGCCCCGGGGCGCTTGTGGGCCTGCCGCTGCCCGGCAGCCTCAAACCTGCG